ACGACTGGCTCAAAGCAATTCAGCCGACATGCGGGTGTCTCCGTCGATCAGGCACTGTTAGATACTGATCCGAAGCTTTATGATATCCAGAAGGGGGCGCAGTCCAAGCATTACTTCGTGGCTGAAGTAAGTTAAATTCAATGCTTTTCCAATCCGTATTACTAAGGAAATATAGTCCGCCAACACCAACGCCACTATCATCGATACAGCCGAAGCACACGACGTGCGGAGCTATATATTCGCGCCGTGTCTTGTATACGGCCAAGGGGCAGGGTTCGGCAACCAGACTTCGATCCAAGATGTTGATATTGTTCGCTGTGCTGTAAAGCTGCGCCGGGTTTATAAAGTTGATACGGATGATCCAGTATGTAATTCCCTCGTACTAGTAACCACTCGAATGTGTATAATCTAACAGTGAACATTCAGATCTGGCCCGTCTGCCACATCTCGGATACAGCAGAGTTGTACCTACACATTCTTCGGAAGATACTTCTGGGAGAGGAAATTGGTGATGGCAAGCATGGCTTCTTCCTTGCTGCTTCGGGTAGTGTTCCCTGGAACAAAGTCTACTGTGCCATGGCCAAGGCGCTTGCGAAACGTGGCTTTGTTGAAGATGAGGATGTTGTGCAGGCTGATGATCAAGTGCTGGAAAGGATGGGTGAGGCGCTTGGTGTCGCGCCAGATGAGGTTGAAGTGCTTCTTGGAGGGAGGTGAGTTATTACCTTTTGAGTGGGGGTCTTTTTGGGTCAGTGCTAATTGTGGCGTTAGGTGTATGTTTACGGCCGAGCATGGGAGGAGGATTGGCTGGGAGCCAATGTATCCACCTCAACATATACTTGATGTGGCGGACGATGAAGTTGCGCTTATCATGAAGGGACTGGAGCGGGGCAATAAGCGGCCGGATATCAGGTAGAGTTATTTACCAGTCGACATACCGAAGGTTGTCAACGATACATGCAGCAGGTTGAAAGCGTCACGGAATTGAACTAAAGGAATATCGGCATAGGCCAGCATAACCAAATCCCAACTGATCTTTTATCCCATAATATATATGATTCTACCTGTGGTGTTTCTAATATATAACAACAAATTTAGAAACACACCTTTTTCGCCTATATTATCAAACAAGACGAATAGGACACTAAATAAATTCTAACTTCCCATCAAAGTACCAGTATTAACCTGCGGATTCTAGTTGTCAGCTTGTACAGTAATATGGCAGTACCGGGGACACTGTTCCAACCGGTTGTAGTAAATATGTATTCCCCGTGTACAATTGAACAAAAGATTTTGTAAGTGAAAGACAGACATTTAAAATCGTCGATTTTCAATCAAGAGCATTTCTGTAGAAGCAATCGCATTGACTTCGAAAGAATGACTTTCATCTCGTTGTCCCGGTAAGCTGCTTTTCTCCCCGACGCTAACCTTAACCGTCTTTTAGGCTCTGAGAATCGCGCCGAAAGGCCATCTGCATGGAGCGCGGACTAGAGCTTGAATCCACCGGGCATCAGATTCTGAAAAACAGCCTCAGGGTCATACTGTTCAGCCGTCCTCTTCAGAAACGCTATATTATCGCTGCCGTAGCTAGCGATCGGGTCCTGCCAAGCCGCGGCGTGGTTGACATCCACGTAGTCATTGTAAGCACCCGCATGCTTCGCGGCAGTCACGATGTTATCCGCGAGACGCTGTGCAGCGTCATCAACGAAGTCGTAGTCAGCGGCGGAGTCGAAGGTCGCAGACAGAATGGCCAATATTAAACCATCGGACGGCAGATCGTCTAGGCCGAGCACATTGCCGCCCTTGCGGGCGCTCTGACCGGTGATGGCGGGGACAATGGGGGCCAGAGTGATGGTCCATTCGATGCCGGCGATGCCAGCCACCGCATTGCTGCTGGCGTTCCAAAGCTCGAAGAGGGACTTCAGCATCGGGAGGCTGTTCTTGACTGTCACCACAAACGTGATCTGTTGATAGCCGTTTGGCGATGCGGAACCCTCGGCTATGGCTAAAGTAGCTAAGCTGGAGATCTGCGTGGTGTTGGAGAGCTGCGGGATGGCAGTAAACTCTTCAAAAGCGGTAGGGTAGGCTACCGGCGCTGCATAGGCGTATGTGTTGGTTAGTATTGGCCCCGTCGAGGAGGTGTAGGCTAGATTAACCATCAGGCCCGCCTGGCGGTCGTAGTTTCGGTTGGCGGTGAAGTTATACAAAGCCGACAGTTGCTGGTTTACTGTGCCAATGGCGAAGTAGGCATCGCCTCCCCAGACACCACCCAGTGGAAAAGTCCGGAAGTTGAAGTTGGTGACGATCCCAAAGTTGCTGGAGCCGCCCTTCAGAGCTAGCCAGAGGTCGTGGTTCTTTTGACTCGTCGCCTGAACAATCTCGCCGCTAGCGAGTACGACCTCGTATTGTAAGATGTTGTCGCACGCGAAGCCCGCCAGTGTTGCGAAGTAGCCGAATCCACCTTCGTGGAGCAATGGAAGAGGGAAGGGTCAATGATAAGAAAGAACAGCCCATCGCAAGGTTGACACTCACCTCCGAGAGTCAGGCCGCCAACGCCTACTGGGCTGTCGCGCCCGCCAGGCACCGTGACATTGAGTCCATCCAATGCAGTGTACACCCTGCCCCAGGTGTTGCCAGGCCCAATTGACACAGACAAGTGATCCGCTGAAGGGACAATATGATTCAGGGCTGTGAGGTCAATGGTGACACCACCTTGGATATTAGCGTGCCCTGCAATGGCAGCATGGCCGCCACTCCGAACTGCAAACTTGCAGTCTCCCGAAGTAAGCAGTTTGAGTGCTGTAGACACATCCTGGGAGGAGGTTGCGGACAGCACGCAAGCGGGTGAAATTGACTGCTCCTGCTGAGACCAGTATGATTGAATTGACTTGTTGTAGGAAGTACTACTGGGATACGAAATTTTGGAGCCCAATGAGGAGACTAGGCTTGCACACTGAACCTGCAATCAGTCATTTTGTCTAGAAGCACATGGAAAGAGAGGCTTTTACGCAGCTAGATGGTGCGCGACCGGTTGAAGGTATAGCCAGAAATGCCGCAGCTACAAACAGGGAGAGGAACATGTCGCTGGTACTAAAGACAAGGGTGATGGTCGAATGGGAAAGAGGGGGGTATATGTGGGAGGAAAAGAAAAGAACTAGAGCGGAAGGGAAAGCGATCTGCAGTCATCTTTAAGCAAACACCAATCCTTGCCTAGAGTTGAAAGGGGGGCAGATACCGCTAAATCTCTAGGTTTACGACCCCCGTACAGCCGTAAGCACAGCACTAATTTAGCAGCAACTAAACCATGAGCCTACCCGTTAAAACCCACTGCGCCCTCCTGCATCCATCGTCCCATCCTTCCCGTCTTCCCTTCCTTCCCAACGTTCCATCATTCGTTCTCAGCCTATTCCTCCTCGTATCTTCGCCTCACGATGTTGGAACAGATTCCCCTCAATGGTAGTGATGCTCCTTCTACAGCCGGCAATTCTCCGCTGGAAGCCTGCGTGCGTGTAACCCTGAAACTCGTGCAAAGACAAAGTCTAACTCTACTATTGCTGCAGTGCCTCAATTTGGCCTCGACTTTAGGGCCTGATAAAATCTCGTTCCCGAACACAGCTGCATATGAAGCGTCCCAAAAGTCGTATTTTGCCCAGCAGAACAGTGATCTGCAGCCGTCCTGCGTGGTGTCCCCGCACTCCGCAGAGGATGTGTCCAATGTCATCACCAGCCTAGTCACCACCGCATCAGGTCTGCCTGCACACGAGCAAGCCAGATGCCAATTTGCCATTCGGTCTGGCGGGCACAACTCCTTTGCGGGAGTGTCGAACATCCAGCACGGCATCACCATCGACCTGCGAGCTCTGAACACCATCAAGGTCCTTGCTCCGTCCGGGGACAACGATGATGAGCAGACCGTCTTCGTCGGTGCAGGCGCCACATGGGGAGACGTCTATGCCCACCTCGACCCGCTGGGTCTCTCGGTAGCGGGCGGCCGCGCCGCACAGGTCGGGGTGGGTGGACTCACGCTCGGCGGCGGCATGTCGCATTTCTCGCCCCGTTACGGATGGACATGCGATAACATGGTCGGTGTAGAGATAGTCCTGGCAGATGGGACAATTGCGCATTGGGATGAAAAAACCCAACACCCCAAGTGGCTGGCAGCGCTGCGCGGGGGCGGAAACAGTAACTTCGGAATTGTGACAGGCTTTTATCTGCGGGTCTTCCCGCAGGGCCCCATTTATGGCGGATCTGTCTATTGCAGCACAGACACCATCGATGCTCAACTACGCGCATTCGCGGAGCTGGCTGATCCCAAGACACCGAACCGCTATGATGAGAATGCCTCGTTAATCACCAGTTTTGGATTTGCCGGAGGTAAGGGAGCCGCTGTGGTGAACAACATTGTGTATACCGGGGAGATGGAGAAACCCGAGAAGAACGGAGAAGTTAGCCAACAGCCACCGTCCCCACCAGCCGTGTACAGGGCTTTCCTTGATATCCCTCAGTTATACAGCACTCTGCGTGTAGCCCCGGTACACGAGATATCCCTGGAGCAAGGTTCGCTTTCCCAAAATGGAAAACGGTAAGAATTTGTCTATTTTGAATTCTCTACACCCCTCCTTTCCCCTAACTCTGTCGTGCTCTTCTACATTCAATCCGCTAATACCAATTGACTACAAACCAAACAGACAGCTCAGTGTAGTGACGACCCACGACGCAACCCTGCCCATGTTGAAAGCGACCTATGACCGGTGGAATACCAGTGTAGCAGCTGTGCAGGACATTCCGGGCATCGTGTGGTCGATATCCCTGGAGCCATTACCCGCCGCCATTTATGGACGGGCGCCTGCAGGTCACAACATGATGGGACTGCCGTCTGACACCGAGAAAGCGCTCGTGGTGACTTTGCTGAGCGCCACTTGGGATAATATGACCGATGATGCCCGCGTGGAGGAAGCCGCTAAGACACTGTTTGCAGGTATTGAGGCTGATGCACATCATTTGAACGCATATCATCCATTTGTCTATCTGAACTACGCGGCAAAATGGCAAGATCCGATTGCAAGTTATGGACCCGAGAGCGTCTCGCGGTTGCAGCGCATCAGCCGGGAAGTCGATCCCACGGGGGTGTTTCTGAGGATGGTGCCGGGAGGATTCAAGATTCCACAGTGATGTGGATTGTACGTATGTGATGGAAGGAGATTCTTGCCTACAGGATGGTTCTTGATTTCCATTATTGATTGATCTTACACAATTTCCCTCACACAATCTCACTTGCTACAATACTGTCATTCAGCTCTTGTTCGTAGCCTTCGCCAACTCATCTAAGCCCTGTCCATTACTCATCATGCGATCCTAAGTAGGGCTATAGTTAGCAACCAATCAAATGGCCATCACGGTGGGGGACTTCGGAACACCGCGGAAGAGCAAACAAAGAAACGGTTGGAAACCAAGAAACTCACCAACAGACCCCCCGGGCACCACCTCGCCATGAACTTGACAGCGGCACTATTCGGACCCTTCCACGCCAAACCTCCATTAGCACTACTACTTCCCAGCACATCGCCAGCAATAGAATTAGCGAACTCATCCGCCGAACAGCCTTGGGGGCCAGCACGTCCAGTCGCCCAATCGGAGATGGTTTGTCGAATAGCTGCATACCGGGAAGTCGGCAGCAAGACAACTTCCGGCTCATTTGCATGGAAATCGGTGGTGATAGTACCCGCCATGATACAGAGCACGCTTACGCCCAAGGGCGAGAGTTCGAGACGAAGCGTTTCGGAGAGCTGGGTGACTGCGGCTTTGGAGGAGGAATAGATCCCTGTTTGCACTATTAGTAACTTCGCTTATGCAAATCTCCTCCGAAAGGGAAATAAAACGAACCAATCCAAGGCGTATTAACCACCGCCCCCACACTGCTCATATTAACAATCCTCCCTTTGGCCGCAACGAGCAGATCACTGCATGCCTGAATCAGCCCAAGCAAGCCCCACACATTAGCTTCGTACACTGCCTTGGCGCGATCTAGGTCCGCCTCCAATAGAGGCATGGTGTACCCCGTCCCGGCATTGTTGACCAGAATATCCAGCCCCCGACCATGGTCTCTCACCGAGCTCACGGCGCCAGCGATGGAGGCAGGGTCTGTCACATCCAGGGGCAGGACCTGAACGTTCTCCAAGGCGCTCAGTCGCTCTGGTATTTTGCTGGTATTGCGGGCTGTGGCGAAGATGAAATGGCCCTGGCGGGCGAGAGTGAGGGCTAAGGCTGCGCCAATGCCGTGGGCGGAACAGCCGGTGATGAGGATGGTTTTGGGATTGGGCATTTTGTTTCAGTGTGCTGAAGGTGGGGAGGAATGCAGTTGGGGCCAGAGGATACAGGAGGAAGTGACGGTGTTCGGTGCCCGGCGTGGTAGTTGGAAGAGAGGGTTGTGTATTTATGCAGACAAGGCGCTACTTCCTGTCAACCAACCGGAGATTACTAGGGATGGAGTAAAGATGACAGGACAAACAGATAACAGAAAAAAGCAATGGGAGACGGGCGAGACTCCAATTTGCCTTGCTCAGCACTAAATTTTAGGATGTACGAAATGAGCACTGGCGCCAGTGACGGCAGGATCGGATTTCCGGGCCCAACCGTGTTGTGGGCCCGTCAATGCGTCAGGTCCAACCAAAGCTTAAGGAACCTTGTCCAGACTACAGTGTACTAGTCTAGTGCACACAGGGCTACTGTGTAATGAACCTACTTGTCACATCTCATGTCAGACGATCGTCGGCACTAATTTCTGACACAAACAAGGAGGCAGAAGAGATGGAGGGGACGGCACGGGGTATCACCAGCTTACGGTCCGTTCTCCTATGAGCTTCGGGTAATTAATTGTCTTACGGGATTTCTCTTCTAAACATATTTTTGCTGCGTACGATGATGAGGAAGTCATAATACTATTGTTGAAAACCCCTTCGCAGCAGTATACAACGGATAGCACTATACTATGAAGTAACAACATCAGTAATATTATCGCCTAATTTCTCGTAATATCATATTTACTACGCCCACCCAACAGTACAGTGATCCCTATCAGCCTCAGCTTCATTGACCAGCCAGGCACGGACTACACATCGGTCCGGTCTACCCGGTATCCCGTGGCTTACACCATCGACTGGGTTTCTTGCTGGATATCCACCTCTCGAGAAATGCCCCTTTCATGATTGCTGGTACTGTGGCTCCCGGCACGGATCTGAACAGCCACCGTAGACTTGCTCACATCCTCTAACTCATGGTTTTGGTTGTCCGTAACTCCGTCTAGCAGGTTTCTGCTGGACCATTTCCGCCCCTTGGACGGCGTGCTCGTGCTCGAATTCTTGAGTTCTGACCCCTTGGCGTATGCCGATCGGTCCGAGCTATGCCGCAAGGAAGAGAGCTTAGACCACAGGCTCCTGAATACGACTGCATCTAGGACCTTGGCCCGGAGGAAAGCGGGGAAGAAGGGCATTGAGCTGACGATAATGGCGACGTTGTTCTCGACGATACTGTACGAGAGAGTTAGATCAGCATGAGTATAGGGGCGGGTCAATAACGGACCGCACTTACACGCAAATGAATAGCGCGCTCTGCACATACGTTGTGTCTGCGGTGGTCTTCAAGCGCACCCGGAAGACAAGTGCACAGACACTGGCAACTATACCCCTATGGTGGGTGTGAGTATAATTATTCTCATTTTTCCAGTTTCCGCGAGGGAGAATATTCCCTCGTAGAGAATCGTAGAAGAAAAATACACTCACATCATAGCCGTGGAAAACACCGCGAGTAATTGTAACCTTCGCCGATGTGCCATTTGCAGCTGTGCGAGCATCGGAAGTGGGAGAAGAAAGATGTAAATGTCCAATACCACGGAGCAGGTTCCCTGGACAATCCCCCAGTAGATCAAATGTCCGGGTCGGCCGTTGGTGAGTAAATCTTCCCAAGTCTCCCCGACGTGCGGTGCACTAAAGTAAGATTCCAGGGGAACTCCGGCCCAATACAAAAGGAAAGTAAAAATAAGGCCGACCCAAATGGCAATCTTCAAGGGCTTCTGGATGGTAAAGATTTGGCGATAAAGAAGGAAGATGGAGCATTTCGCGAAGAAGATTGTGGGCCCAAGGAGCACACCTTGAGCGTACAATATCTGTTCAGTTTGTAGTATTCTGAGTGAGCTTTGAATACTTAGAACGTTCTCAGAGGTGCAGCTTAGAAATATTGAGATCGTACCTTCATATACGTGCCATTGAACCAGCAGGCGGGAATGTCCCACTGATGTTTGGCATATTTCAGCACTGCATCGAGGAATCAGAGTCATAATTCGAAGCACGTCACGATCCTGTCTTAGAGCCCACTCACTCGCTAAAACTAAGCCTAAGTAAGTTGCCGACAATGCCAAGGCAATGACCACAAAGCCTGATGTACTGCTGTTAACAACGTGTATATCCAGACTAGCCAATGGCGCCCACCTACAGTCAGCCAAACCCAGCTTGCTTAGTTTTGTATGCACTCTAGCTGCGGTAACAGTGACTGCCCACACCAAAGTCACCGTTGTCACCGCGATGGTAGTTGCTGCCAAAGAGGGTGGATCCACCAGGTTCGACGACTGGCCAGACGGGGGCGTGCCCGCTGGGTAGGCACAAAGATCAATTCCCGTATAGCTGGAAGCCATGATGCCGGACAGAGGGGTTTTCCAACCCAGCTCAGCTTATCTCTGTGTTCAGTGTTGGCTCGCGAGGGTGGAATGTGAAGTGACAGGTTATAACGGGATATTGAGTTTCTTACATGTCGGACATCCCGAGTGGAGGCTTCATAGCCTCCAAGTTGTGCAGGGTAGCAAGGCTAAAATCCTAGCTCCGTAGACATAATAGTATAGTCCCTGCTCAAATGACAAGTGAGAGCCTTGCGTGACAAGGCTGGACAGTTCAGGTCTCCCGTGAGGGGGCTGTATCTATCAGAATTAAGACATTAGTCCGGATAAGTCGGGAACAATCAATTATTCAGGTGAGATCCCATATCAGCTAAGACTGGAAAGTACAGGGTATGGTCAAACATGTGAGTAAAAGTGGAAAGCAATTTACGTAGCATGAAACAATTGGTTACAGCCCGAATTTGTGCATAGATCGACGCGCTAGGGTCTGTATTTAGTCACGCCCTCCGGACCAAGGTGGGCGACCCATCTGCCGGCGTTGAAACACCACCACCGTCCCAGTGCGGGGGACAACACTGGACCGCCACGTACGCCACCGAAGAGCCCGAGGGTCCGCCAGTCTGCACTCCCATCCCTGAAGAATGCACACCATCATCAACTTCAACACTGTGGTCGCGTAAAACCTGCCTGGACTGGTAATGATTGCAGTGTGTCAGATTATAGCCTCGGTGTATGCATGGCAAAAGCTATCAAGGAAAAGAGGGGTAGTACCCACCAGGCTGTGTTTCCCAGACCCCATATAGGCCAATTCACATCTACATCTGTCAGCTGCAACGGTGCTACTTCTGGCACATCAGCACAGCCCTCATTTAGAGCCAAGAGCTTGTTGGCTCTCGCGAATCGGAATCCATCAAATTGCTGTGCGTGCGAATAGCGAGCCGGATCGCGCATCATTGCTCGTTGTGGAATACAGACCCAGTCTCCCCGGTCTACTCGTACCCCATCAGAGAACGTGAACGGTGTCAATGCTTTGCGTCGTACGGTGACTATCAAGTGGACTGTTAGCATGGGACGCTAGCAGATCCTGTGTCTGCGGCGCTGTAGTGACACCGCGACTCGAAGCCTCCACTTACTAGCGTCGGAGTTAGTACAACGAACGGTTTCGCGCAAAAAGCTATCCAGAAGTGGCATAGCGGCCAGCTCAGGGCACAAGCCTTCAGGAGCGATACGATTGATTTCCTCCCGAAGCGGGTGCACGTACTCCTCATGCAAGCATAAATCCTCGATCGCGTATGTCGCAGTCTAGGGCTGAGTTAGTCTTCAAATCCTGTCGTGCAGTCCTTTTTCTCCGAGAATCGAAAAGGTGAAAGCAAAAGGATATGCATCGAGTATGTCAAACATACCATGGCCAACTGATGCACAGACCCAAACCAGACTGCAATAATCTCACCCACCATGCGCGCGGTCGTCCACTGGGTTTTCCGGGGTGAGGTCTCGATAAGCCATTGCATGCAGTCCACCTGCGCCACACAACTTCATCAGTATCTCGCTTCCATTATACTCCCCTCGTCGAATTCAAGTGTCTTACTGGGACATTCTCCGTGGAACCCACAGCCCTCATGGCTAGTCGCTGGTTAACCACCGGTTCGAGATACCGCATGAGTGTCTTGACGGCACGGTGTCTTTCAGTCACCAAACTGGCGACAGAGCTACTGCATGTCAGCGAGAAACGGCGTCTGGGGGCCAAATGCGCCATTCGTACTGCCGTAAGAAGGAAGGTGTGATACGCAATATCTCCGAAGCAAAGATGACAGTCTGAGGGAATTCCAGGGCGGCTGCGGTGAATTCGGGATTTTGAGCTGTAGATTGCATTAGTATTGGCAGGACAGCCTTATCTGTTACCATAATGGGAACTTACCGAGCTGCTCCCCGAAGAAGACAAAACAGTTGACCTTGGTGACAGCTCGCTTGATCAGCGGGAACAGTCGGCAATGCACAGAGCCTGATTATATCGTTAGCTCCGGCGTCTGCAACAACTTCTAGATCATAGGTGTGACCATGCCATCGGTTTCTGGTGTGTTCAGTTCTTCCATAATGGCAGCCTCGACCATTCGCTTGAGGTCGGGTAGCATGCCGGGCAAGTGAGCAGTGAGCCTGCTCCTCAAGGCTCGCACGAAGCCCGTCCCCTCGATCCCACGCTGGTCTTGCCACTCAAAGCCAGACATTGTGTATTTCGGTTGTAAGATCTGCGATGGTCAAAGGGGCTCTTAGTCAACCTCAGCAATCTTCGAAGTATGACGAGAAAGTAGCAAGGCGTACCTCTTTAGCCACAGCATGAAGGGATAGACTCTGAAGAGGCGCATTTATCAACTCTTTGATGTGATAACTCGAAGTCACCATCAAGTGGTTGTTGTTGGGGGTAGGCACTTTGAAGGGCATCCCACCGGCCTGATCTGTTAAGCGTAGTGTACGACTGAGCAAACGAGGGCCAACCTACCGAGACATATGCTTCATCTATCATCTCGGGTCCGCGGATCAAATAAAACCAACCACGAAGGCGTCTGATGCAAAGTAGCAGAAGCGAAAGTAAGAATAAAATCATTATATACGCGTACATATTTGTTTTGTGAAGTTGAGGTGAGAAAGTGTGTTGCTGTTGGTGTCCTCAACACCTGCCATGGCCGTCATTATATGTATCGGCCATGCCCGTACAGCCGTGCCAGGCTGTGCTAGTGTCGACTTAGTCAACCAAGTCCATGAAAGTCCGTGTATGAAGCACTACCAGGTCACCACACCCAATGAGATGGTTCAAGTGAAGTGACCGTTGTTAGGTGGGGTTGACTTCCAGTTATCCATCACATTCCACTAGGGCCCGATCCAATAAAACTGCGGATATATAAGTCGACCGTCAGCCTGCTCTGTTCCTCAGAAACAAAACACCCGGTGCACTCCCTTTTTAGTTTTCCCAGCTCATTATGCTATCCGAGTTTTTGACTGAGGTTGGTGACCTCTCTGCCAGAGGATGGCATTGGACCCACAAGGCCCATCCGTCTTTGGTGGCAGCCATCGTTGCCGCCAGCGTGCTGGCACTCTGGCGGTTACTGCGATTCTCCATCGTGCCCTCATTTTACCCCAACGACCCCAAAGAATTACCTTATTGGATTCCATGTGAGTCACCCGTCTGCTGTTAATAATCTCGAACAACTGCTAATGATGTCTAGTTCTGGGTGGGCTTCTTGGTTTTGCTGCATGTAATTATCCCAAATTCTAACATTGAAACTCAGGCCACGGCGGCGCCTTCTTCAGTAACTCCAATGCGCTGCTCTCCCGCGCACAGTATGACCTCCATATTTCTGCTCACACACAATTAAAGACCTAACGCTCACTGCACTCCAGAAAATACTACAAGTACAACAACAACCCCTTCGCTCTCACTATTGCCCACTCCCTTCTTTATGTCATCACCAAGCCCCAGGACGTTGCGGACGCATACCGAAATACTGAGACGCTTTCCTTCAACGAGTTCGTGCAAGCGATGATGCGCGCCTGTGGAAACACCGAGTTCTGCGTGCGGGCAATGTACAAGCCCCTACCCAAGCAGAAAGCCGGATTCACGAATCCCCACGGGAAACCACTAGCGACGCTAGCACGACAGATGCACATCCATCAGCTCTATCCCGGCGATAACCTAGACTTCCTGGAGAAACAATTTCTAGATTGGGTGGAACCCAAACTAAACATCGCAGGACTCCAGAGAGAATGCCCCTATCAAGTCCGGGCGAGCAATGGCAACGATAAGGACACCAACACCATCGTGCTTCCTCTAATGGAATGGTGCTCGGACTTCTTCACCCGTGCCGGCCAGGAGGCTTACTTCGGCCCTGAGTTGGCAAAGGTTGATCCTTCCCTTCCAAAGACCTTCATTGTCTTCGACGAGCTGAGCTGGCAGGTGCTGTACCAGTACCCGGACTTTCTGGCCGGGGAGATGAAAGCCGCACGAGATGCGATCCAGCGCGCCTTAAAGAAATACATTCAAATGCCGCAGGAGGACCGACACGGGGACGCCTGGTTTACTAAAGCAATGGAGAACGAGATGAGGGCACTGGGAATCAGTGAAGACGATATTGCAACTATGTTGGTGACGATTTACTGGGGGTGAGTCCAGATTCATTTTTCTCTTATCTTCATTCTATTTTGCCCCAAGAGAAAGAGACGAGTATGGAGAAAGGAGGAATGGTTGAGCTAACCCGGTTATTCATCTCAGAATCAATACAAACACCCGCAAAGCAGCCTGCTGGCTCCTAACCTACATCCTCTACTACGGCCCAGATCATTACGTTGACGCCATCCGCGCAGAAACTGCGCCAGCCTTTCGCTCCGGCAACCCCATCCCCGACCTGACCTATCTCCATGACAACTGCCCACTACTAGACGCCATGTGGAATGAAACCATCCGCATGTCAGCGTATTCAGCTTCAGTGCGGATGATCACATCCGACACCGTCATCGGCGGCAAGGTCCTGCGCAAGGGAAACCGATTGATGATCCCGTACCGGCAGTTGCACTTCGATGAAGCCATTTTCGGGGTTGATTTTCCGGTCAACGAGTTCCGCCCGGAGCGATTCAGCGTTAAGGGCGGTCGCAATCTGACACGCAGCGATAATTGGCGACCCTTTGGCGGCGGGACTACCATGTGTCCCGGGCGGTATGTGGCGAAACGGTTTGTTATGTTGTTTGTTACGTTGTTGTTGCGCCGGTTTGATGTCGAATTGGTGGATAAGCGTGTCCCTGAGGCGGAGGATGGGAAGCCGGTGTTGGGGATTATGTCGATTAAAGAAGGTGATGATGTTTGTGTGCGGGTTAGGGAGAGGGTTATTGTAGATTAAACGGTGGTGAGCTTGAGTTAGGGAGTGCATAGAAGTGGGTAAGATTCTGTGGAATTGGAGAATCAGGAGTTTACTTTTCAGAGGTTGTATTGGGGGTAAGCTCATTCCTTTCTTCAGTTTTTTTCAGTTGTCCATACCCATTCATGCTTTTTTACCACTCATGATCTTGACATCGAGGACGAATAAAGTTCGATTCTAAGGCTGTCTTGGCAGCTCCAGCCTTGGCTCATGTAGTCATAAGCATCGCATCTTACTCAGATATCATGAGTAATTTTCAAGTGACACATCTCCCTCATCATCATTTCCTTTATTGCGTCTTACTAAATCAACTAATGCACTAATCAGGCAAGATTCGACAACAAAGAAGTAGCATGAATCTGCATATAGCGACCCCGAGTATGGGTTTTAGGGGTATAAAGCTTAGTTGGGTAGAAGCTATAGAGACAGAAATGTAACGGACCTGAGATCCCCATGTCCCATTCAGGTACTTGGTATGGAAGAAGCCCAGATATCCGATAATAATGGTGGTGAAAAAACGAGGTTTAGTCTGCTCGGACGGGGTTCTGCGCGTACTACGATGGTCTCTCGTACTTTTCGGCATATCTAATTTTCATCATGGCCGAACAAACAAACCACCATCGTCTACTACGCCATCAATGGTTACTCCGCAACGTATCACCGCCACTCATCAAAGCCTCAGGCGAGGTCAACAGGAAGACATACCACGATGTGCACTTCCCAGCTGAGTATGTGAGGGAGATTGAGTGGGAGGCCAAATTCTATCTCATCATGTACTTGACGTGGCGATGGACGAAGTTGCATTTTTCAAAAAGGTGCTGGAGGGTAGTAATAGGTTCAGATAAATTCTATAAAGAATTTGTCATCGTGGGTAAGTGAGAAATATCTGCGAAGGCTTCGTTGACTCCATCGCAATAGCTGGGCCAGATATCGGGATCAACGAGATCCGCCCAAGGCCAAAACAAATCATCACCTGCCTGGTTCTGTGCAAGAGACAAAAGGGAATGATCAATGTTCGTACTGTCTGCATCAATGTTCGTATTAACCGAGCCAGACTGTTGATTCGCCTGTTGTGTCAACCCATCTTTTGTCGGCGCAGGTACATCCTTTGTGCTCTCGGTCACACCTCGCCGGAGGTCAATATTCAACATCATAGTCAGCTTGTCCACCTTCTCACATAGATGACGAGTGAGACATGCTGCACGAACTGCGGCGTCATTTTGATAACCCGCAAACTCAAATGTCTCCAGGGCTAGGTCGACGTAGCCTCGTGCTTGTGGACAGCGCGGACAGAAAGGAAAAGCCAGCATAAAACCCATCAGCGTCAGCACGGCATTCCACTGATATTGATAAAGTTCGCATGATCCATAGAATATATCATGCGCGGTCATACAAGAATACACTGTTTGGATCGTTGCCAAGGCGTGTTTCAGAGCAGTTGCAGCATGCGCACCGGCAAGGGGATTTTCTCGGTTCATGGCGGGCTGACGAGGGAATTGGATAAAAACTCTATGCAGACTAATCATGGCATCGTGGTATTGGAGTTCAAGCGGGGCCTCCGTTTGAATTTGGAGTGGCGTTTTAATCATATAGTCATTGTACTCCTCGCCACTTCCATTCTCTCCTGGACCACAGAAATACTTTCGTGAGATGGGCACATCTTGGACGTCCAGTTGAAGGTGCTTGAACCATGTGTTTTGGCGTAATTCGTCTTTCCATACACGTAAATGATGCAAATTATCCGTCAAAACGTTTGCCTGAAATCCAATGTCATGTGTCTTTCTTGTCTTTTCGTGGTGTGCCATTGACTCAATGACAGCCAGGGCCGCACACGTGAGACGAATCGATTCATTATGATATGGGAACCATACCTGACGGGGCGGATCGTTCGACATCCAACATGGTGGCGGAGATCTAGATATAGGAAGCTGTACACTAATAGGCTTTCCAAGGTGCCTTGAGCAGCGGAAGTCGAGATGGACTAAGGTCCACCAGATACGAGAGTGTAGCTCCGCCTGCTCCCGGGATGCTTGAGGGGGCGGGTCACAGTCAAGGTCTAATGATCGAGCAATCCGAACAGCAAGCCCGATCATATTATACGCCGCCTGGTGTTGTCCAGCATCCAGTAAGTACAAGGTCATGATACAGTAGCACTGAAGGTTTGGAAGGGAGGGCTTCGCAAACGTTGAATATTGCATCGCGCCTGTTAGACAACGTTGGAAATAAGGCATGCCAATCTTCTTCGAGCACCGATTGCTGCTATTGAATTGCTTCCATTGCAATCCAAGAAGCCGAGCATTGAGGCCAGAGTAGAATATATACTGCATGGTGTAGGCTGTTACAGCATCCCGCAGAGGTTGTGGATGGGAGCCAGTCGCAGTATCCTCGTGGGAAGGAGGGCACTCTAGATCCTCTTGGCGAACAATTGGAACTTGTGGGAATAACCGTGCCCAGAATATCTCTAGAACGCGATTAACTTGAGCGGAGGATAAATCGCATTCAATCGCAGCTGTGCCATCTGTATCATGGGGAGTAAAAGGTGATGAATAAGCAGGAGGGGGGCCCGCAGGGGACCACCGAGAGGACAGTTGGGATACACCAGCGCAGAAGGTGTTTATGCGATCGATGAAGCCAAGTGTTGAGTCCAAGCGATAGTTGATCGGAGCTGTCTCTGTGTCGTCGGGACAAGGTGTCATGCCCCCGCTGGGTGTCTGTCTTCCCTTGGTGACACTGGCTCTCGGGGTGACGTGAAGTGAGGATCGGGACACATCCATAGCAGCCTCTGCGCGACCAGATGGGCTGTCAGAGCGCCTTAGACGGCTACAATGCACCTTGTTCATCACGCATTGATGGCAGGGGGCAACTGCGTCGCACCGCACTCGATGCTCTCGACAGAAACGGCATGCCCGGCGCACTTTGCGGCGCCTAGGCACTGAACCTGGGGTCGTAAAGGTATGTATCATCTTCCAAATTACTGCAGCTTAAATACCATGAAGGATGACCTTTTCTAAGCATTGCTGAATTGGCGCTACGAGTGGTAAGTGGATGTTCTTTGCAGGCATCGGCGAAAGTCTGGATATGAGGATTAGTCACCAAGATTCCCCAGCGTGACTTGTCAGGTGATCACCGCAGCGACGATGAGCTGCCCTAGAAGCAGGATCAAGCCTTTGTCATGTATGGGAGTTCCTGTAATCTGCCAGGACTCGAGTATTGAGTAACCTTACCCTTCTGTTGCATAAGTCATTATCCCACTCAGCTAAGGTCCAAGTGCCGCCAAAAGCTTTGTTGATGAACTGGCTGGAACGCCAAGAATATGCGATGTCCTTGCTGATGCACCCAACCCCTCAGCCAGTACCACATAACAACCAAAGCCATGTGGGGGTGCGACGTTGAAGACTGCAACAGGCCGGCTGTACGATTAGACGGTGACTGTGTTATTTGCGACCGTCATTTCTGTGACGAACATATTGAACACGGATGTCCCAAGTGGCAGGTGACGAGAAGAAATATATCATGCTCTCAAGTCCTGACATATCTAACAATCCACATCAAGGACGGGGAACTCTACGATCTAGCTGCTCAGGAAGCAGAGAGGGGCGAGATAACCAGGTTACTAGATTCTCTGAACCTCTCTGCACTCCTCAAGAGAGCGACCTACTTACGAAATGGGATTGCCTGTTGCTCGCCTCAACCTCTTGTATACGACAGATCAAAACGCTCATCAGTTATGGGTGGCATGAATTATCATATAGAAATTCTTTTTGCTGATGGGGTTCAGTGGTTGGCCCGTATTCGAAGATCCAACGCTACTTCACCACCTCCTGAACTACGTGACTATATCATATGCAGCGAAGTCGCGACTCTTAGATTTCTGGACAACATGAAAGTCCGTGTTCCGAGGGTGTTCGACTACGCGCTGAAGGGTCAAACTCCCGTCGGCGTTGGATATATACTCATGGAAAAACTCCCGGGCAAATCATTACGCTGGTCTCTCGCGTCTCAGGAGCAAAGGAAGAAAGTTATGACTCAGCTAGCGGATGTATACATTGAGTTGGAACGTTTTGCGTTCAACAGTATGGGATCTATGAATGAACCAGGAAGTGACCACATTGCTCCGTTTGCCCGGGAATCATTGACCGAATATGTCAACTCGCAAATGGTTTCCCTCGGGCCATACAAGGACCCGAGAGAGTACCTCCAATCTAGCATTGAGCTCATAATGAGATTGATCCTGAGAGGGGAATGCTATGCAGGACGCGAGATAGATGCATTCTTAGTTCACCGATTTCTCCTTGATTGCATCCCAAGAATCATAGAACATCACACTTATGACGACGGACGATTCTATCTACGGCACGCTGATGACAAGGGTGATCATATTCTCGTTGATGGTGATTACAATATCACGGGAATCGTTGATTGGGAATGGGCTCATACAGACTCAAAGACGGAAGCATTTAAATTGCCCGTCATGCTTCTCCCAGTTTCTGACTTCTACGAAGGAGTTAATACTGTTAGCGAGGATGAATCCACCTTTGCAGATATACTTGAGGCAAAAGGAAACAAGGACTTGCAGACATAGTCAGGAATGGGAGACTGCTTCATCGATTCCAGTTCTGTTGTGGATATGACTTTACAGATTGGGATGGGTTCTTAAGCCTTTTTCAAGGCCTTCGAAATGCCTTGAACATAGATGCAGATTCGGGCTGGGATGACTGGAAGACAAACGCTTTGGAACGATATTCGGGTGATGTACGTCTGAAGACTCTACTGGGGCAGACGAAATAGTTTTTTCATCCTCGTTATCAAGTGCTATTTCTTTATGACAATGAGAAACGTGCAAAAAAGAGCCTGATCCGATTACCTAGAGCCCAAAAACCTCGCTCACATGGTATACCGAAAATAAACATTGTTCATATCCGTAACACCCTGCGCCCCCAACTCTCTACCCCGCCGTTCCTGCTCCTCTTTAGAGATCCCCATGCTCTGTATGATGCGCTCCCTGCGTCGATTCTCCCACATATACCAGCCTCTCCAGACAAGAATAACAATCACCTCGAGAGCAAAACACACCGAGCATGCGATCGTTCCCGAGACATATCGGGGCGCATCTTTGGTCTTGAATACCTGCGCACCAGCCATGTTTCCGGCGCAATAGGCAATCAACGTCATGGCAGAAACGACGGATCGCTTCGTTTTACCTGCGACATTGGAGGGGACTGGCCGGATGTGGCTAATTAGTAACAGATCATTCTGAATGGCAATAGGCGATTAGGTGAACATACTGAGACTCCAACCCAGGAAGATAGCCATAGAAAAGACAACTGTCATCATAAACATTCCCCACTTCACCCATTTGTATTGGGGTGTGTTAGGGAGGAGGGACATTACTAGGAGGGCAATGAAGGGAAGAATGCAGCAGACAATCATGACCCACATGCGTTGGTTTTTAACTTTGCGAGTGTACAATCCAACGATGAGGAAGCTGACTACGAAGGCAGCTGGGGCGAGATACATAATTAGTATAAGTTCGAACTGGGATTAAGAGGGCTATACCATATCGGGGACAGCCGTAAAGCATGGATTCCCATTCACTAAAGCCAAAGGTCTCGTACATGAGGGAGCTAAAGGTTGTGATGCCTCTGCGTTCAACTGAGAGTCAATTACGCGTCAGGCCATATAGGAACTGCATGTAGACTTGCCCGTTGGGAATATTGCCAAGGAAGGAATTGGCAAAGGAAAAATAGAGTTGAGGGTCTCTGAAGGCTTCGATAACTTGTGGCCAGGACCACTCTTTACCCGTCGTATCCTGACCAACTTGGTTGTCCAGCGTGCGGGCGGTCCTGTCATGATAAGTATTCCGGTGGCGATGGAGATGGGCCAAAACCTACGACATGCGTTTCTCATCCTCACTTAGCCAGCGCACCTCGTGTGGGCAACCGAGCAAGAAGAAGGCGGCTACTGCACCGGCCAGGGTAAGCGAACCTAGAAAGAGTGAAATGCATCTCCAGGCCTCTATACCGCCGTGGGCTTCAACATGTCTAGCAATGGCGTATAAGATAAGGTTACAGACAATACAGAAGAAGCCCTCTGACGACTGCCAGAAGAGGGAGCGATTGGCATGTTCCTCGGTGCGGTACCAGACACCTGTAATGTGGAGGAAGCCTGGAGATATATTGCTTTCAAAGAAGCCTTGGAGGGCACGGAGAGCCATCAACTGCGACCAGTTTTGTACGGCGCTGATACAGATAAGACATATTCCTGGAAAATGAGTGTTGGTCAACTGCAGTTATGGAATGCCTGCATTACTTACCCCAGCATGTAATATAGATGGATAGGACCAAGCCAACATTGAATCTTTGTAGGAGATAGACAGAGGGGAACTCTCCGATAAGGTACGTAAGATAGAAGCTGCAGTCACGTTAGTATGTTCTTTGTGTTAGGAATCGTTACTTACATCGTGGTCAGCCATTGATATTGTTGGCCGTGTAGATTCAAGTCATCCTCCATCCCAAATATCTGGTCTTGTCAGCAAGCGCATTCATTTATCAAATCAAGAAACTTACTGCTTGAATACTAGTTGAGGTCTTGTCTACCTGCTGTATTCCGTAGAAGAAGAACCTGAACCGTTAGACAAGCCTTTCTCAGACGTGGCTAAGCACATACATCATTGGCATGAGGTAGTAGTCGATCTTCCGGGTCAATTTCTTATATTGTTGCTCAGTATAGTCTGCATAATGTCAACAACATCCAGGTGTAGCGAATGAAGTAGCGTACCAGACACTAGAATGTCCCCAATCTCCACATTGGTAGCCTTGATGACGGGGTCGTCATTCTTGTCAGTCGATTTTCGGTCCATGTTCGATACGTCCATGTTGAGAGCATGTACGTCTCTGTTCTGTGAGAATCATCAAAGTGTACAAGATTTTCAGAATCGCCCCTATATCTAGATGAGAACTTCATAAGGCACAACCCCTCAAGTGCTAGTATCAGATAAACAGCAATCGCTATCTGATAAGGAAATCAATCTGCCCCAACGTGTCCCTTAGCTATCCAATAGCAGTCACTCAGTACCCTAGTTGAGCATGAGAGGGTTGTACACTTTGGTATGCAATCCTCAAGGCCGAGATGGCCTTCCCTATTACATTCCTACTATTAACTATCCCTAAGTTTTCCCCTTTCATACCTCAGCGATAATGACCTTGATTGCCAGAGATAATCGGTTAAGCCCGAGCGAGCAAGCTTCCCCACCGCGATAAGCCGAAAGTGGAGTAGAGATCGGCCAACTGTCCGCTCCCATCTACCCCTACAGTCGTATATACAACACGGCCCCAAAGCATGAACCTTCAATCCCGCGCGAGACAACCTGCATTTTCAGTCAATCATCCGTGCGCTGACAAAAACGAACATGCCCGCTCCCGTCCCCAATTCCACCACCCCCTTCTGGCGCACCCATCCCCATCCCCTCGATCGCCACCGCAGTACCCCAGACCTCCCTACTGAATGCGACATCCTCATAATTGGAGCGGGCTTCGCAGGAGCAGCCCTAGCACATTTCCTCTACAAGGGCAACGCCTCGCCGCCATCAGTGGTAATACTTGAAGCACGAGAAGCATGCTCTGGAGCTACAGGTCGTAATGGTACATTCATCCCCTGCCCCTACCACAATCCCATCGCTCACTAACCACTCAACCAGGCGGACATCTAAAACCAGACGTCTACCTTAATCTCCCTAAACATATCAAAAAATACGGCGTAAAAGCCGCAGTAGAGGTAGCCAAATTCGAAGCCTCTCAAGTCCACGCCGTAAAGGAGCTAGTCGAGACTGAGAACATCCACTGCGACTTCGTCCTCACTCGTGCGTGCGATGCAACGCTGGACGAGAAACTAGCAAAAGAGATTGAGACTGCCTATGAAGAGCTAGTCAAGTCAGGTGTTGCTGATCTGAAAGATGTACAATTTACGCCGCGCAAGGATGCTGAGCGAGTGCGTTTATCCCCCCTCACTCACTCACCTTTCGCCCTACAGTCATACTGATTAGTTACTATACACAGGTTTCCGGCGTCAAAGGCGCTCTCAACTGCTTCACCTTTACAGCAGGCCACATCTGGCCGTACAAGATGGTAATGCATCTCCTCCAAGGTGTCGTTAACCGAGGCGCGAACCTCCAAACCATGACTCCTGTTACGTCTATCGATGAGAGCCCTCTACCCGATGGTCGGTGGGTAGTACACACTGAAAGAGGCGATATCAAGACAAGGAGAATCCTTCTTGCGACGAACGCATACACGTCTCATTTGGCCCCGCAATTCAAGGAGCACATTGTTCCGGTGCGCGGGATATGCAGCCGCATCGTCGTTCCGGAGGGCAAGGTAGCGCCGTTCCTACCCCAAACATATAGTATCCGTTATGGGCCGTCCATGTACGATTATTTGATCCCCAGACCAGACGGGAGTATCATTGTTGGTGGGGCCAAGACAAAGTTCTGGACAGATACGAAGCACTGGTATGATGTTGTGGATGATGGGAAGTTGATTGATCCTGCCAAGACGTACTTTGACGGGTTAATGCAGAGACACTTTGTTGGCTGGGAGGGGAGTGAGGCGTACACGGATCGAGTGTGGACTGGGAGTAGGTTTATCCTCTTTTACCATTATTTCTCTCTGGGGCAAGTATTTACTGACTGTGTCTAGTTATGGGATATAGTTCTGACTTCATGCCATACGTGGGTGAGGTGCCTGGAAAGCCGAATCAAACTGTTATGGCGGGTTTCTCTGGACATGGCATGCCGCTGATTCTGCTTTGCGCGAAAGCGGTTGCGCGCATGGTGAGAGAGGGTGTTGCGTTTGAGGATACAGATGTACCATCGGTGTTTCGGGTGACGAAGGAGAGATTGGAGAGTACGAAGAATGAGATTTTGGAGGGGTTGAAGGAGAATTTCTCGAGTAAGCTGTAAGTAGTGTATGGCAAGATGCGGTCTAGTCTATAGCGGCAAGTTTTATGGCTTTGTGAGATCGAACAGCAAATGTGAATATTTCCTTCTTCCAAATCAATTATAAATGAAGTTCAAAAGATAAATAAATATCTTTCAATTACTTTGCATCGCAGCAGTAGCTGTGATAATCCCCTCCGCTAACATGGGCAAACTATCCGCCTCCACGTCCATCTCTCCGAAAATGTCCGAACACTTTTCCTTCTCCCACAAAGACACCCACGCCCCTTTGAACCTAGACAGTTCAAATTAGCACACCATCAATTCCAATTCAAATTAGTACCGAGGGCACTCACCCACACCGCTTCGCCGCAGCCGCATCCCACATATGCGCCGCCGCAAACCAAGCTACCGACCCTTCCCCCTTAAACTTCTCCAACAAATATCGATACGACTCTGGCGCCGGCTTACCCACACCGATAGTATCACACGACACAAAGTTCCCCTCTGGGAACTTCACTCCACCCTCAGCAAGATACCCAGCCACCCGGGATGTATCGCCCGACGTCAGAGCCCAAACAGTGAACCCAGCATTCCTTAGCTTCTCAAAACACTCAGATAGCCCCGGACGGATTTTCAATCCGCGATACGATGTAAGTAGATATTCGCGGTCCTCGTCAGTGGCAAATTCCCGTGGGTTCAGGATCCCAGCCTGCCAGAGTGTCCGGTAGAAGATGGAACGGAATACGTCGAAGAACTTGACATAGTGAGTTGAGAGACTCAGGTAGGTGTATTCCTTTTCGCCGGCTTCCATCCACGCGTAGCCGAATAGACGGGGGTTGATGTTATAAGTTCGAAGCTTAGGGCCGAGACGCGAGTCGATTGCTGAGAAGAAGGCGTCGTAGGAGACGCATGTTCCTGGGATGAATGTTAAAATCAGTGAGGAATGAAGGGATGTTTGCTTTGGGGGATTGGATTTACCTACGACGTCGAAAACGACGTGTTTGTTTGTGGTTTCCATGTTGGTATAGGATATGAGACAAGTTTTCTTGTTGTGTCAATGCATGTTACCAAATATTTTCGTTTAATGATCACAGAAGAGTCCCTCACACGCATTAGAACTCCAACAGATGAAGCCCTTTCGGTGAACCGCCGCAAAAGCGAGGAAATAGACGGGCTAAGCCGATACTTGGGCTGTGACAGGGGACGACCCCCACTTCAGACTATCTTATCACCGAGGAACCCTATCTCTCGAGCGGGGTCATCCAGACTCCGGATGATAGCCGATAAACAAGCACCGCTGCAGGGATGCATAAGGAACCACGTCAGCTCGGCGTTTAACGACTGCCTGCATACTGCCTGCGCGCTGCTGCGACAGTCTATACCCCTTATGTCCATTACCCCTCATTCAGCAACTTGCATTCAGAAGCTTCTAATGACGATGAAGTTTCCCGTTGTCGAGCTGGATATATGGGAGGGTGGACTACGCTATGTCTCACTTCACGATTCACACGTCGTCATTGTTCGACCCGAAGCTCAAGTTATTGCGCCCCAATGTCTCAGTCACAGTTGATCCTGTCAGTGGACTAATAGTGCGTGTCTTCGAACGCGACTCGAACACCCCATTATCGGAACTTATACAACCTGGCGATATAGACCTCCGGGGGAAGTATGTGTTGCCTGGACTGGTAGACGCACACACGCATATCTTCCTTCATTCATACGAGTAGGTTCATCCGAAGCGTAAATACTCAATCGCGAGTGGTATTGACCAAGGCAGTGAGGCAGGAGCGCTTCAGCAGAAGCGCGATGAAAGCATAGGCGAGCGCATGGTCCGAGCAGTTAATCACTGTCGCACGGCATTGCTAGCCGGGTACACAACCTATAGGTGTGCATGTAACCTTCATCCCACTAAATATGAAGAGGACAAATCAACTCACCCCATTCAGAGACCTCGGCTCCGAAGGAATGCAAGACTTCGACGCCAGCATCCGCGACGCCATCGCGCGAGGCCTCACTCCCGGCCCCCGCCTATTCGTAGCCACCAAAGTCCTCGCCAGCACCGGATCATTTGAATGCCGGACGGAAAACAGCGCCGGGGGTCACTGTCTTCCCTCCAGTGCCGACGCTGTCGATGGTGTTGAGGCATGTCGGCAAGCTGTTCGTCGCCGCATAGCTGCCGGTGCAGACATCATCAAGTTCTTCGCCGACTACAGAAGGAGAATCATGCGATATCCCCCTGCGCAACAACACCCGTATATTGCCGGGGTCTTGCATCCTCCAAAAGAACCGAATCCGGATTATATGGTATTCTCGAAAGAGGAGATGCAAACAATCGTGGCCGAGGCGAAGTTGGCCAGGTGTCCGGTTTCTGCGCACTGTGCGACGCTTGAGGGTGCGATGGCTGCGATCGAGGCGGGTGTATCCACCATCGAGCATGCGTATTCTACTACGGACGAGATGTTCGAGGAGATAGTAAAGAAGGATGTGATTCTGGTGCCTACGCTGGCTATAGCGGAGAGGTTGCACACGAAGCGGTTTGATCAGATCCTGAATGGGGTCAAACGGGCGCATGAGATGGGTGTCAGGTTGGCTTGTGGTGGGGATACAGGGACGTATCCTCATGGTGAGAATGTTCGAGAGTTGGAGCTCATGATTCAGGCGGGTATCCCGGTAGGTGATGTTCTGGAAGCTTGTACGATCGGTGGGTGGGCGTCTTGCGGTGGTGATTTGTGTGGGAGACGGTTCGGGTGGTTTGAGGAGGGAGCGCAGGCGGATATCATTGCTTTGCGTGGAAATCCAGTGGAGGATCCAGGGGCTTTGAGGGAGGTCGACTTTGTGATGAAAGACGCCCGAGTGTGGAAATTAGATGGTACGCCGAAGGGGATTTTCTAAACGTTCCCTGTCGTAATATATACTAGTTACTACTTGGGAGTGGTGGCATCTCCAAGCGTTCCGTGGATGGTCCTCAATGTAAAGTCGCAAATAAGTAAATCATGGTGGAGAGGTTTTATATTATCCCCTTTCAACAGCTGCAGTTCCTAGCAATTCCGACAGTTGTATACGTCTGACATGTCTATCATTCTGTAATCGAGGCCATTCAGAGTGATGAATAAAGGAGTACCGACTGCCCCCGCTAGTTGCCTCCATAGCTTTCTTCAAAAAAAAAAAAAAAAAAAAAGATTCCTTGTTGTACTCATAGCCTCCCCATGGCCGTTGCAGCGGTCTCCGCCATAATAGCTGCGCACTGCTCTTGCGATCGCTCAAAAATCCGCTGCAAGGCCTTCTCGTCCCTTGGTATGAACCGTACCTTGAAGTCTGACGCGACCGCATTCGATGCGGTCGGATCGCGTTTATAGTGCACGTAGTGTGTATTCGGCGGACTTTCTTCATCTTCTACCATTCTGAACGAGACAATCAGACGAAGGATGGCCGCATAGAGAACTCGATTCGAAAAGTTGACCGCAGTACACATGCGGGAACCCGCACCAAAGGCAAAGTGATAAGGTGGAGGAATATCATCCTCTGCCTTTCGCCAGCGATCCGGTCGGAATTCATCCGCATCTGTGCCATATACAGCTCTGTCTGGAACTCGACAGGTTAGCCTAAGACTGGAAGGCAACAAAAGCAATGTAAACACTCGTACCGCGGTTTGCAGCTTGTGCATTCACGTAGACGATAACGCCCTTTGGAATTACAGCTTTTTGGTAAGTGAATTCCTTGAAGGTTTGGCGCGCCGGAAGAAGCTTGAGGGGAGGATAAAACCTCAGTGTCTCCTTGACAATGGAAGAGACATAAGCACACTTCTCCTCAGATACACAGAGTTCGAATGCTTCGGCTGGCGAGTTGTAGACACTCATTATGTCTGAGTAGGCCTCGTCTTGCATGGACTGTCCCTGTTTAGTTGATAGGATGGCGATTGCCATAATGATGGTCGAGAACACGGTCTCGAAGCCTCCTGACATGAGGCCACCAAGTATTGTTTTGACATCGACTAGCCATCATCAGCCGAAGCTCATCTACATTAAACGGAAAGCACTTACGTTTTGTAAGACCCTCTTGATTATCTGTCAATAATAGTTTGGCCACACATTTCCTGTCTCCAATTCGCTGTTGAAGGCTTTCGCGAACACCATCCAACATGGCTGCTAACCATTTATCACGACGTTCGCGGACTTCAACAGCTGTGGCAGTTCTTCCTCTCTTCTTCCAATACCTCAGATAAGGAATGAAGTCTTGTGGGTTCGAGTTCGTAGATCGAAAGCTGTCGAAGTCAGAAAATACAGTGCTGAACTCGCAAAGGTCAATTACCTCACCTCGCAATAGTGCTAGCATCTTCAAGAATCTGAAGCAGTAGAGGATCGGTAATAGACTCGAATCGCGTCCCGTAGCAGAACATCATCATGATATTCAGCGCAAGGCGCTTCTGATAGATATGAGGCATAATACTAATAATCCCATTCTGACTGTCATGATAAATTTCCGAGATCATTGAAAATGTCTCTTGATCTAACATTGGTCTTAACTTCTGTATAGCCGGGCCTGTAGTTAGGGAGCCGACAACCCGTCGCTGCTTTTTCGTCCGTTCATCCCAAGGGCTTGTTCCGATCGTGGCAGCTATACATATCACTTAGAATTGGAGACAGGAATAGAAAATGCATAAGTTGTCTTACATACCCGAGGTTGCCGAAACTACCTTATGGAAGGTATAGAACGATGGGCGGTCCAATGTCGCGGACTGATTTTTGACAATCCAGTCCCGGGCAGCATGAAATGAATTTATCACCACGGCTCGTCGCTGTCCCATTCGGATCTGAAAGACGGGCCAACCAAATTTCAGTGACCAGATTTCTGCGGTGGTAGCGTGGTCGTTTCCCAACTGATACAGATGACCCGCCAGAAGCTCACCACCAGGGATCTCAGGAATACCTATGATTCTGGGGAAATCAACATAGATATAGCGTATATATGAGAGAACCGTGATTGTAAGCACTCCTGTAGCCACGAGACTTACAGTGGCGAGGTTACAAAGCCAGAAATGGTCTATTAGAGCAGCCATAGTGGACGGGATTGCTGGTGTGCCAAATGACTGACAACAGTGATGACTTTGGGGGTGTTAAGACAGTTTCATGGATTACCTAGCCAAGGTACATGTGCGAAGCAACTCTTACATTCCGATATGCGGGTCGGAGGAAGGCGTCGATGTGGGCCAAAACCTCGGGGAATAGCGAGCGGTTTTCAAATTATCTTAGTCCAATTCCCTCCTCATCAGGGATAAGTACAGTTGAATTTGCCATACCTCGGCTAGTATTTCAAGTTTTATACTGAGCCTTCGATATTACCATGGCAAGCACTTTGCGTCTGGAAGCGCTCTTCGAGGTTAAGGACCGTTGGGTCGCCATTACTGGTGCAGGTGAAGTACCATCCAAGGAGAACAATTGGCTTAATATTGACATGTCGCTATCAGCTAGCGGTATAGGTCGTATGTTGGCGAGGGGTTGTGCAGTCAATGGGGCCAACACCATTCTGATAGACGTCAATGAGCGTTCCTTGGAGGCAGTTAAGACCGAGCTTCAGCAGCTCAGCCAATCTGAGGAGTTACCTCCAACCTCTATAGTCACGTCTGTTCCCCACATATATCCTGCCATGACGCTTTGTCTGAGTGATTGTATAGGATACATGGAGACCTTTCCAGCGAGGCAGGTGTCACAGCAGTCGTCGCCGCGATCAAGTCAATTCGCAATTCGCTTGATGCTCTCATACATTGCGCCGCGGTCCGTTACATGAACGATATCACTTATAAGCCTGGCGGCAGTCTGGACAACCTTGAAGAAGCATCTCTGTCTGCACCCTATCAAGGCTGGGAACAAACATTTCGCCTGAATGTGCTTGCGCCATATTATCTGACTGCGGGTCTAGTACGCTTGTTAGGCACAGCAGCCGCGAGAGGCGACGGGCGAGGCTGCGTGATTATGCTAAGCAGCCCAGCTAGTGTGCATAATCATCAATTTGTGCCCTGTTATCAGACATCTAAAGCAGCAGTTGATCATCTTGTACGGATCATGGCGGCGGAGTTCGCAGACTACTACAGTATGCTGTTGTTTCTCGTGGCACCATTCATTGCTTCTCTCCTACAGCACTTATCTGATTTTATCTGCAGTTCGCGTCAATGGAATTTCACCAGGCATCGTGCCTTCCGGAATGACAACAACAGATGCCAATTCAAACCTCCATTTAGCGGCGGAAGCACCAGCTGGCCGAGCAGGGAACGAAAAAGACATGGTAGGGACCATGCTGTGGTTAATCAGCAAGGCGGGCGCTTTTATGGACGGCAAGGTTATCAGAGTTGAAGGTGGCCGGCTTCTTATTCTTCGAGGAGCAACATGTCATTCAGGTTGATCAGAGTAATTGCCAATAGCTGCATTTCCATTCATCTCTATAGCAAGTTTCGACATAGCTGATTTTTCGTTCTCCCGAGATCCAAGACTCAATGGCTTGCCTGCCACCGGGCTTGTCAGGTAGACATGTGATTTAATTTCTTTGTTTCATATTGGTATGCAAAAGGTCCGTAATGATCTGCCAGGCATGAAGGTACGAATGACCACCCTTCCAATGAGAGCAGAACAAGGTTAGGATTTCACTGCATAGAATCAAGTCTCTGAAGTGCGACTGGAAGGTCGTCCATCTCTTCACTATAGCTGTCGCTATGGAGCATCCAGATATAAGGGCCCTTGAGCATGCTGTAATCGGTGATACAAAGCCTTCATCATTGAAGGCTACTCTGTGTGTGCTCGATAAGAGCTCTGCGGCTGCCTTGACAATTTTAAGTCTTAACGTTCTCATTCCTTTCCCTTGCTGGTCGTCTGGTTCCTGATAGCAAGTCACACATTGCTTGTGCCTAACACAAGTGACTAGGAGGACAAGCCAGATTTCCTGTGACGCCGGGGCGGTATCTGCAATACCATCGGCTCCATCGATCAGGGCTGAAATTGGGCCAACAAAGGGGCAGCTTCCGGTATCGCCAGTCCGACCAGTGCCGTATATTGCTCGAAATACTTTTCTGTAGGCAGTAGATGATATATCCTCTTCTGTTGCATTATATATTATATCCTCAATTGACAAGGTTGGCCGATTTGATATCGTCCGTAGTGACCTGCTATGTATGAGCTAAGGTAGCAATGGCGATGGCTGTTGTACCAACCCTTCAATGTCCCTCAGTACACGCATTAGGCGAGTTCTCATGGGATCATGCGATACTGCTTCCCCATTGATTGTGGTCTCGTTGGAAGACGAGGCGGTCCGGTTCCAGCCTAGCTGCAAGCACGTCCTTCGCGCTACATCAAGGAGTTCCCAGATAACGCCTCGAGTCGGATCGGCCATTTCGTATACAAGAAGGAGCAGAAGAGCTTTCATAGAGTCTGCGTCGGCAGAAGATATAATTGGGGCAATGAAGTCATTTGCCCACTCACGGCATGTATTGGCGAACGGTTTCCAGATTGGCTCTTTGTACGACTTTTGGGTGGCGGAAATAGCGCAGGCCATAAGTATCTGGAATTTTCGCGTTTCAGGCAGCTTCCGTAGGTGCATGCCATCATAGCTCAAAATTCCGACGTCCAAAATGTCATATTTCGGTTGAACAAGGCGATGGTAATCTTTTAAAAGGCCACGCACCGCACCGGGGGTAAGTGTGGACCTGTCAAGACGTGGAATGTCTGGAAATGAGAAGCTTTCCTCATCAACAGTCATCTTGTCATCCGTTTCCTGGCGTTGTGAAAGTACCTCGAGTGTGACCTCGACAATGCGTGATGGAAGTGAGAGGTCAATGTATAGGTCTTTACCAGAGCCGGGCATAAGAATGAAGGAGGAGATTGAGGAAAGCTCTGTTGGGATGCCATCAGGAGTAGTCTCTGTTAGGCCACTTTCGCTCTCCAGGTCCCAATTAGCTCTATGCAGAGTGAAGTAACAATAGGGTGCTTTCACCTTGATGAGATCTGAGAATTTACCGCCAATTCAGTGTTCAGCTTCTCGATTTTATCCTGCAATGTCTTGAGATAGCTATCTTATATGAGCTTTCGGCTGATTTATTGTTGGGTTTTGTCATGCAAACCATCGGGTGACATCTACTTGTAAAGCTTCATCTCGAAAGGTACATTCCACATCGTGCTTAGAGCAGTTTGCGCATGCTGGAAGCAAGGAGTCGCACTGGAAGAATGTGCGTTAGTCTATTGTTGGGTGACGATGGCGATAAGGGAAGGGTCATAGGTACCTTGATCCTCCGGCTTCTGCAACGGGTACAAGTTGGCAGCATCTTTTCGGATGTTGTGCGCTCGTTGTCAGTGATCTTTTTGCTTTAAGACACGTCTAGGGTGCCTCTAAGCACGGACTACTCTGATTGATCCCAATGTTGTTTGAGAGAGTCGGATTGAGTGGACTCGAGGCAACCCATCTAATTTCAATCTAGCATCATCACGGGGTGTTGTCATATTACGCTAGGCCTGGATGGGTTAGATAGACGTCGCTTGCTTTGAGACAATTGGTTGACTTTGTTCCTTATCAGGTGATGCGGGGAAATATGTGAATATTACTAGATAAAGTAGTTGTTCTGTTTATCTTCCATCATTCTTGCGACTTCATATTGTCTCATGCACGTCGGCCGCCCACAATGCCACGATCTAGGCGCTCGACTAAAGTATGTTCACGCTGTCGGAAACGCAAGACGAAGGTTTGATACCATAATACCCTGTTCCAGTTATTCTGTTTATTGCTGTAATATGCATGTGACATTCATACTCCGTCTCTAACACGACGATGCACCATAGTGTGACTTCATCTTTCCAGCATGTACTCCGTGCAAACTCGCAAGCTTACCTTGCTTGGGCTTTGATCCCAGCTCTAAGGAGACAGTCCCAAGGAGGTATGTATCTACACCTTGTCTGCGATCATCTAGGACTGATTATGTGTCTCAAGCTTTGTCAAGTCACTCGAGGCTCGGGTTGAAGAGCTCGAAGCACAGCTGCGCTCATTGAACGCCGCCTCCAGTAATGTTCCGTATCTCATCACGACGGCCGTTGCGCAGGCTACCTCATCCATTGGCATCCCCTTTCAAAACTCGTTTCTCGGCTCTAAAGCCTCATCTCCATTGTTCTTTCGACCTTCCTGTCCCCCTTTGGCAATAGCCCGGGAACGGGTACAATATAATCCTGAGAAAAATTTGAGCCTACAACATAACAGTTACAATCATGGGGCGCCGATTAACTTACGTAGTGTTCCATTTTCAGCGATCAACCGCATGATTCGAAATTATGTTGACATCCACCTGCCCCAGTACCCTTGCGTGTCAGAAACTATGGTAAACGAAATACTCGACAGGATCCAGCGTCAGGATTTGAAGGACCCAAAGGCACTACCAATTCACCACGTGCCCACTGATGCTGGATTGGGGCATTTCGAGTATTTTGTATTGCTCATCGCACTGGCAATTTCTGCCATGACATTGACATGGAAGGCCGATTATCAAGCTCGAGCGGCTTCAGAGTCTTTCTATAACGCGGCTTTGAAGCACCTACAGGCCATTAAAGATCATAGCGAAATACAGGCACTACAGGTTTCTTTACTCTTAGCTCACTATGCACATATGTGCCCGGAGAGAGTAGACAATTGGACATGCATTTCTAACGCTGTTCGTATTGTCCTCAATCTGGGGCTCTATATGGAGTGCAATCAACCGATTCAAGGAGAGCCCTGTCAGCGAAGCGTACTATTTTGGGTAGCGTACGGTATGGAGAGGTCATTATGTACGAACCTCCGCCTTCCACTGTCATTTCCGGAGGAGGCAATCACGGTAAAGGTAGGTCTCTCAAACTTTGAGACTCTTTGAGAAACTCATAGAAGGCCAGCTCCCCACAACTGAAAAGGCAAACCTCAATCTGGGCCACTCCACCAGCAAGCCGAGCAAGACGTCTGTGGCTTACCATATATGTCGGTATCGTGCATTAGAAACAGAGGTACATAGAGTGCTTCACCTGGAAGAAGGCTTAGCCAAGTTTGGCAGTAGCACGATAGAAGACTGGATTGAGAGCATCACCCAAAGACTGAAAAGGTGGTACGAGAAGGCACAGTCCTACACACAATATGATATGCTTGAATTCAAACATGTGCAGTTTCACCATCTCATGGCGCGCATCCACCGGCCTACGCCCCTTCTTAGATTGAGAGGTCCAGACAATTGGAAGGCTGTGCTAGATGCATCATCAGTTTTGATCCAAGATTATCTTGCTCAGGAGCGGCGTCGGAGGCTATTCTATCCTTGGCATGGGGTGCACATTCTCTTCGAAACTGCAGTAATTTCGCTCGAGGCGTGCTGGTCAGCACGAAATTATGAGCCGCTACAAGGCAGAGCTCATAAGATGTTACATACCTCGATCCCTCAATGTCTTCAGCTTCTCACCAACATCGGTGAGCGCTGGGGCGAGGCAGCCGTATGTGCTGATCGGTTAAGGCCGCTCGCTGATAATGTCAGGACCGCTCTCACAAATCCTGACACGCTGTTGTTGGCCATGGTTGATGAGAGTATTATCACGGCAGAGATACTTGATTTACTGTTCACGGACGGGCCATTGTCATGGACCCGAGCCAACTGCGGAGATATCCTGTCTGGTCTGAGCGACAGCGATCCATTGCTAAATAGCATGGCGGATGACAGTCTCGAACTGTTCTCGTGGAATCCGGAGTGGGATATCATGCCTGCTGGCTCAATCCAGGGGTATGAGATTTAACCGAAGTTATCACCTCTACTACGATGGTCGTTTTCTTACGTCATTTTCCTTTCGTCGATGAGTATCGTTAATCTAACATACCATGCCTGATTGGATCTAAAGGACTTTCCGTTCCTCGCTCTAGCATGGTCACGCAACGAGGCAGATTTATACTAAGTGGCATCTCTCGCTGAACTCGAGACTCATGACCATGTAGAGATACACAAAAGAAATACGATAACATATATCATTAGACAATTCGGCCCTCCTGGCATAAAGGTCGCAATAATCTCACGCAATCGTGTGGACAATACCACGACCGAGTTTCTCTATCTGGCTACTATACCAACTCTGAGAAAGGAAGTAATGTCAGCGAGTGGCACCCCAATCACATACATCTCACTTACACTCTCAAGGCCAGCCCCAACCGATCTGTTGCTCAACATCTTGAGGATCCAAGGCTGTTTTATCTGTTGCGTGACAAGCCGTGCGCTCTCTTTCGGGACATCTGGATTCAATAGAATGTCATTCGGTAAAGTCGGTTTGAGGACTGCTGGACGCCCAATTCCAATCATGTCGCAGTCCCCATCTTTCAGTGCCTTCTCCATACCAGCTCGGGTACGGAAACCTCCCGTCACCATCAAT